TCTTCCCGATCCATATTTGTCTCTCCCTGAACCACTTTTGGCTCTTCTTGAACCACTTTAGCATCGAATTCAGGGATATCTCGCCTGGCACCGTCGGCCACGTGGCTCTTGTAGGCGTATTTGAAGGCCGACACAATATCGGTGCAGCCGGTGTCATAGTCCTTTCAGGTGTTCAGAAGGAATATATGGATGTGTAGGCGGGAGGACAAAACACAAGTACGGTCGTTAGCACCAAGCTGTCCATTCCATTTTCTAGCCCGTGCCGCCCGTCTGGGTCTGGGAAACTTTTTGTAGCTCCTCTGGTTGAAATTGGTGTACAAGAAGGCCGCAGTCATACAAGTGAAGGATGCCTTTTCAGAAAACGATGGACTCCGTTATTGATAGGTCTAATGTTATAAGGTGTCATGGGTAGGCGACTACGCAGAAAACGTCGGTTGAGATCAAGCAATTGCTCGTAGTCTCGGGCAGTCGTCCACTTTTCCCGAATTCCTCCGTAAGTCTTCAGTCCCTCGGGTGATAGATTTTGCTCCAGGAACGGTGAAGATGATTCCATGTTGGAAATATAAGGGACGAAAAGGTTGTTAGAATAATGAAACTGCAACGATAGTTGAAAGGCTGTTGGTATTATCGAAGTGGAATGACAGTTGAAGGGCCATTGAATGATCAAAGTGGGATGAAGGTTGGAAGAGAATGATGATACGACGCTGTTGTATACTTTTCTCAGCAGCATGGGAAGGTGTCCTCATTGGAGTACCTACCGCCAGTGTTCGACACGGAAGGAGACGTGGGGCGGAAAGAAAACGACAACTATTGATGAGTAGACACATTATGATACTCTTCTATAGTGAAGGAAGGAAATATCGAAGAAAGAGGAAGTCATGGAAGAGCTCCTTGTATTGAACACTGTATCGCGAATAGGGAGGTAATACCCTAGGTATACCAGAAAGCACTCCTCTGAAAAAGTCTTTTCTGCCTCGTATAGAATTTACTCATGCCAACGGCAAGCGTTGAAACGCTAAATGTAGATATTAATGACGGAGATAGGTCTGGGTCTGCTTGACCAGATGATGCAAGCCAGTGCTTGCGATCAAAGCCCACTTCTACATTTACATGCCACCTTTCTATGCCCGGCGGGTTGACATAATACCCATCTTCCACCCATTTATTAGAAAATCTCATTCTACGGATTGCAGCGGCTGACCCAATTCCTTCCCAACATGCCCCACAATCTTAGCCACAACTTCATTCAACCCCTTCACTACAACCGTCGGTCGACCATACTCCCCAGCGACCAATTCATCCATCCATCCTGCTCCTACTCTATCAACCCAACATGTCCGCATGCCCACCGCATTCGCCCCTACAACGTCGAACGGATTCCCACTAATCAACCAAACCTCACTCTGCCTCCGTTCTTTTCCTACCTTCTGGCAAAGATAGTGGTAGACTTCAGGGCAAGGCTTGAACTTTTCTACAGGTTCGACGACAACGACATCTTTGAATAGGTTCTTGTGCGGTGAGAGATCGGGGGATTGGGAGAGAGATGCTGAAATCATATCATTTGTTCCATTTGAGAAAATGACGGCGTGGATATGCGAGTTTGATTTTAGATGTTCGAATAGAGGGGGAACGTCCGGGAAGACTGAGAGAGTGTTGTAGGCGTTCATAAGAGAATGGACGTCTTCTGACTTTAAAGATGCACCGGCTCCGGCGAGTGCATTCTGCAATGACTTCCTCGTTATGTTGAAAAAGGAGTCGTATAGATCTAAATAAGAGATCAGCAAGCCAGACTTGAAGATTCGAAAATGATAATTGGCCGGGGGGGAACAGGCAGGTATGGAAAACAGAAACACCAGAAAGCTCATCGCTTCCACTAATGCCCTCGGGAAATTAGTACAGCGATTTATAGCACATCCAGCTTTACGAGGTCAGTTCTAAGTGCCGAAAGAAATGAATTATAGGGAAGGAGGGACATAATACGGAAGCGATGCTTTTAGTGTGCTCCTTCTGTACTCTACGTGAGAAGATCGGGAAATAAGAACACGAACTCATGCTATTCATTCGCCATGTATATTCCAATTGATACTTTCTCCAGTCCTGCGCAATTATTTTCGCCTTTTCATCGCCGAAATGCGAAGCCAATTGATTAGCAATAGATTCGGTGGAAAGCAGAGTACCGTAGGCATCGAAAGCTAATATAATCTGCTTTTCGGATGGCATTATGAAAAGAGGAGGAAAATCAGATAGATCAATCAAGAACAGAGAGAGACAACCACCTAAAGCAGTGAGAAGGAAAAAAAAGTCAAAGTCCAAGAATAATATTCGAAAGTATGACCTTCAGCTCCGGCTGCTATGAATGGCGTTGGTGGGGAAGATGACATGCATCCGATGCCCCGCTTCACCATATCTCTTTGCTTTTTGCCGGACGCTCGGGTACGGGGCATTTTGCAACGCTTTGCGATACATGGATTAAGTATTTATTGTAGTGCAGAAGTGCCCTGAAGGACATTGAAAGCCTTGCTGACATAATACCCCTGAGCACGGGCTTGGCCACAATGTTAATTAGAAGAGTATCGAAAAGTATTGAAGATATTTAAAACATCTGTCAATAGTCCAAATAGCGTGACGGCATAGAAATAGATCACTGATTGGACTCATAGCAGACGTCCACAATATCATAGAAGCTAGGCTTCATAACCAAGTCACGTAAACTCCATGCGGTTTCCAGTGGCATTTCTGGAGGTGCATTCACGACAAGTGCGCGAAACTTGTCGAGGTGTGGTGTGAGACTCGCACTCCATGGCTGATGCAATGAACTGGCAAAAGGAGTCTAGCTCTTGGAACCCGCTGCAAGTTGGAAACTGTGAACAGCAGAGTGGTCTGAATGGCCAAAGATCGTGGTAAGCGTCCTGCCAGCGGAAGAACCTAGGTTGAGGGAACGCCGACCTTGAAACGGTGAAGATAGTGGGTAAAGCTGACATCCCATAAGGTTGGTCGTGGTAAGGAGATGGAGCCAGTGAATGGGTTCGCAATGAATGCCTAAATGGTATCTAGGACGGCTGTAGTGCGGCTGGTACGTTTGAGAGTGAGTCCGACCTGGACCAACCAAGTCGACGGAATTTTAATAAGCAGATGTGAGTTTTGAAGGGTCTTGAAGGCATTCGTGGAATTGAAGCATACTTTGGGCCATGATCAGCCGGTGGCATTCGAGCTATGATTGAATTGAGAGATAAGGCAACCGAAAAGAGGTGAGACTTTGAGTCTTGTATCAAGGTGAGCAATGATATGTCCGATCGGAAGAAGGACCGGCATCGCATGGGAATTAATCCGCGATATTAGCACTGGCCAATGGTTTGTGGCCAAAGCAACGACGAGGATAGATGAGAACCTGGGACATGGCTGCACGTACCATGAGCCAAACTCAAATCAAACTCCTTGCATTTGCATGATGAAACATGCGATGCGGAGAGTTCTTAAGGTAATAGATAAGGGCCTATCTTTGAGGCAAAAGTTCCTGGATTGCCCAGATAGGAAAGTAAGACTGGTCACAAGATGACAATTATTTGGATCGACTAAGATGCCCAAGTTCTTATCGTTCCTTCTCGTCGGATAGAATATAAGTGCTCGACGTAAAGATGTTGATGTGCGCTACAAAGTGTTGTATCTGATATTTGATATGGGCTTGGGATATTGAATGCGCTGAAACCCAAAAAAAGTTGTTCGTTTTTTGTCGAAACGTGAGATGCCCAACCACAGAAGTTCTGGCTCCGTCGACTCCCATTGATTCGCTCATCAATTCTCACGATGTCGTAGTCTTGCAGCTAAACATGCAGTAAATCCGGGGAGCACCCTTGGCTTGGAGGCGAAGGTTTAAAGTTTCGGGTATCGAGAGCAGGGAAATTACGAGGTATTGCCAAACCAATAACTGCCTTATAAGATCTTCTAATATGCCCACCAGCTTCCAGGTCTGGGTTTGGAGGGAAGTTCAGGCATCCAATCGAAGGCTTCGTGGTAAAAGAGAGAAGTTTCGGGCTGGGGTTTGAACAGAGTGATGGATGTGTTTGGAATGCGGGATGAGCGCCTGGGCATTTATGCGGGGCGCATCTTGTGTGAAGTTGATGTTTAGAAAATGCGAGTCTTTAAATAGCCGGAGTAAGGATGAGGATGCTTGAGAGAAGCATGTATGGAATGCGAAAGGACTTCGCAAGTAATGCTTTCGAAGACTTCTGGTGCAAATCGCGAAGAGCTGGGAACGTGTATTCTTCATGCGTACTACTATCAGCTACAGAAGATGCAGTCAAGATTAAAGGTGAGCGTTAGGAGACCTGGCTACGTGTGTGGGAAGAGAATGGATGACCTGGTCAGTCAAAAGCAGACTCCGGTTCTTTGGGTTAAAAAAAAGTAGGGAAGAGACGGAAAATTCGGGCACTTGTAGCGTATGTAGGTACCGCGGAGAGATATCCTGTACCTCTTCAACTTTAACGCCCGCAGGTGACTTGCAGAAATGACGTCCTGAATGCAGCTCTCAAGTTGCAAATAGATAGCTGCTCGGGATAGAGTACCGCGTGACGTGCAGTGTTCAGACTGGAGGTAGTTTCATGATAGTCGTTTGAAAGCTGCCAACAGTGCTCGCTTGAACAACAGCCATATGTTAAGAGGGAGCATGAGAAACAGAACGCGAACACCAAGCGCAAAAAATGAGAAAGGCTGGCTAGCACCACATACAAGTGTACTACCGCCAAGCGCGATTTCTCACAGATGGTGCAACCCGCCACTCCACACACATGCAGCGTGGAGTCTGATTCCCCACTCTGTCACTTTTCTTGCTCTGTCGTCTCGAAACGTTCGGCAGGGGAGTCTCACGGACTGTCTGCGTAGGAGGTGTCACTTTGCAGGAGCTTGGAGTGTATGTCCTGAGCCACGGGGGAAGCCGTGCATGCTGATAGTCCCACGCAGTTAAAGCCTGAATTAGATAGCAAAAAAAAGAACTTTTTTCCTTGAGGGCTGAGCCGGGATCGAACCGGCGACATTTGGATAACCGCACATGACACTGCAATCCACTACTCTACCACTGAGTTACCAGCCCAGATGATGTTGGCAATTTTGAAAATTAAATTAAATATGTATTTCTACTAATCCTCTGTCGTTCTCCTCTTACTTTTACATCAAGATTAGTTATATAAAACTGTCCGCCATTAGCCGAAATCCTGAAGGGTAAACGCAGCACTGCATTGGATATAGGATACATGACCACAATCGCACGCTCTACCATAAGTATTTAGCCTAACTTGTTTCGGTCAAACAAAAAATTTATTACATATTTCTTTGGGTAAAAAATTATGGAGGACGACTCGGGTTAATCTGATGTTCCTCAATTTTACGGTCACTGGGCATGCAATAACCGATGTCCGCATTCGTCTTCATCATGTCCGCAGTGGGCAAAAATTCGATAGCGTAGCGGCGGGGCCCCGGGCTGGCTTCGACCCTGATTCTTTTTTCCGCAAAGAACCTGCAGGGGCGACACATGGGATGGCCGAATGCTCAGGCGAACCTCTGATCATCGCTCTCAGGGGCCAGGTCGCCGCTGATTCGCTGCAACCTTTCCGTCTGAGTGTTTCAAGAAGTTACACATGTCGACTGTGGGCTGAATGGCAGAGGCTGAATGGCAGAGAATGGTGCCACGCCTTCTGTGGAATAATGCTGCTAGAGATGACGAGAAGACAGCAGCTCGCAGCAGCTGCACCCGGGAACTGCTGGGCGGCGTGAGTCGTGATGGCGTGGATCGCCCGGAGGTAGCGTGTCAGGGCATCCCGGTAGCCAGTTTCGTCGAAGGAGGGTCGAGAGTTGCACTTGGAAAAGCTCTGGTCTTTGATCGCTCTGTATAGCACTTCCCCCATATTATAATATCAACGCGCGATCCCCACCGCGTCCTATCGTCACAATTGTCGCCATTCAACGCTCACGCACCGCAGCGCAACTCCGTAATTAGGAACTGCATCTAAAAGTCCGCTGTACAGATACGGCGCATCTAACTTCTTGGCTGTGCCTCTGTGCCATACACACCGCCATTAGAGACCCCTGAGACGACGCCAAAACTGCCGAGTCGACAACTCTCCACGACCTCGAGAACTCGATCCGCAAATCTCAGTTTGTTTCTCGACTGTGTCATGGTCGCCGTCTGTTTCCCATAACCTTTTTGCTGCAGAGAAGGACCAGCAGTGCTGGCTTCTCGAGCATCATCAGGGGGCATCCAACACCTCAGCGCCAATCTGCAGACGACTGCAGCAGCCCGCAATTAGACCTGTACCTTTCCGACACAGCCTGCGCTCTCTAATATTACGATCATAATCCTTCCCAACATTCCGGACGCCGTCCAACGGTCCTACAGCATTCGTTCCCCGTACGCGCTAGGTTCGGAGAATGCCATATTGCGGTAGAACAGTACGAAGACCTCGAGCCTCGACCTCTTACACAAGAACACAATGGCAGATTTCAGCAACTCAAGGGCCGATCTGCGTGACAATTCCCGTCCGATGACGCCCACGGGCTTTTCGAGAACACAGAAGGGCAACGGAAACATGCGTGCGCTAAAGACTCGCCCGACGCCGCAGGAGACCTTTTTCGACGACTCCACCCTGGTCGACAATATCAGGAGCGGAGACAGAGAGCACGATCGACTGAGGGACTCACATGATCTGTCATTCTCCGATGGCACCAGGGATTCGGTTGTGGATAACATGCTGTTGTCCCTAGACCAGCTTCCTACCGGGCCTCCCTCTTTCACCAACCCTGCTGCACTGTATTCCAGTTTTGACGACGACAACTCCTTCCTCACAGATAATCCCTATCCTCCACCGAAACCCTCCCGTCACCGTGGCCACACCTATACGTCTTCCCAGTCTTCGGACTACGATCTCCACGTAGATGATACAGCGTCACGATACTCGAGCCACCATTCGCGGGGACGAAGAAGTGGTAGCATTAATAACTTCCAGAATGCGCTAATGCGGAAAGAGAGTCAAAGAGGTGGGTATCCCAGTACGAGGGACAAACAATCAAACGGGATGTTCGGGGAGTTCCAGCAAACAAGCCACTCCAGGGGAGGTGGTAAAAAGGGAAGCAAGGGCAGTGGTTCTTCGAGCATGGACTTTGGATATTCACAAGTTTTGGGTACACAACGTTTAGGTTTCGGAAGTCGTTCGGCAAGCTTTGATCACGGAAACATGGCAGATCGATCAAGAGCCACTTCCAACAAGGCAGAGTCTGTCTTGGATAGAAGCCAACCAACCTTCCAAGGATATAACGACTATGACGCCGCCCCTCAACCCACCATTCCGGCTGGTCCCAGACGGCACCAGGAACCGCCGCAATCGTCTCCCGCGTATCCACCGCAACCTACATATGCACCTCCACAAGCGCCTGTCCCCAAACGCAAGAGCAGCGTTCGATCATCGACAAGTAGAACACTACGGAAGAACAAAAGTCACCCGGAACCCGATATGCGGGCCCAGGCACAGGAATTTGTCAATGCGAGCAATCTGCGCGATCTGCCCCCAATACCAATGTTCCAGGATCCGCCGGCGCCATCCCCAACCGTGGCTACGCGGAAATACATGCTGTCGGGCCCATCGACGCCCGTTACCACCCCCAAAGAGAAGCCTGGGTTTTTCAGGAGGGTCTTTGGTGGTTCTTCTAAAAATCAGCCGCAACTCTCGAATACCTCGAATCACTCGAATCCTTCACAACATGAAGCATCTCCTGCCTCTAGTAATCGACGCGAAGTTCACTCAGCAGACTCTCACGCACGACCTCGCACAACACCAAGCAGCTCCAACCACATCGCCTCTCAATTGAAATCCCTACCCAAAGTTCCTCAGACGGCTAGCTCAGCGCAGAAGGAGCCGCAGCAGCCCGCGCAACCCACGTTGGCCAAAAAGCATTCATCTTTCTTCCGACGGCGGAAGAAGTCTATTTCTGAGAGCACAAAGCCTCCTGTTATGTCAATCGACTTTAGGCCGCCGAAGCCAGATCTACTCCCTGCGCAGCCTAGCCCATCCGTAAGTAGCCTGCGTAAGGTTATGAACCCTTATTTGAACGGCTTGGGCAGCCCAGGAGAGAAATACTACGACACTCGGGAGCACCAGACCGTTGGTGAAGGGCTTACAAACGGTGAACAGTTGAATGGATTTTCGCCAGGTTACATGCCCCATAAGGATGCAACCGTCCGTACCGTCGCACCAGGCTCCCGTGGTACTGATAATAGCCCTCCTTCCTCGAGGGGTGAGCAGGTTAAAAACCAGCACCCGTTCAGTACTGATAGTCCCAAGTTGAAGTTGAAGATGAAGCGTGGTAGGACAACCCTCGGCAACCCACATGACGACTCATTCCTTGCAGACAGCAGCAGCTGCAACGAGGACCGAAGTGACCGTGCGACGCCGTCTGGCGAGAAGACCACGTTGGGCGGTCCGGAAGAAAGGCGACGACCCAACACCAGCCCCACATTCAGCCGGTTCCCGACACCAAACGGTAAGGAAGGCAGGAGCGACCGGAAAGCAAACGTCGGCGAGAAGCGGGCCGACCTGCTCAGTCCACAGGGGCGCGACAGCGCGAGCGCGGCCAAATCATCGCCTGGAACGGCGTCGGCGTCTCAGTCTGCGTCGGATGTGGAAGACGATGGCTGGATCATCACGGCGCCCACGAAGCAGGAGCAGGCATCGCTGAAGAAGTCTTCTGGCAAGTCTTCTGGCAAGTCTTCTGGCAAGTCAAAGCGCGTCTGGCTGGAGCCCACGTCCTCGGAGGAGAAACTAGACGACCCAGAGCACATGTCGCTACCCTTGGAAGGCGCCCGGACATCACAGAAGTCATTAGAGAAGGCGTCACCAACCTCAGCGCAGGTCACCACGCCGTCGTCTGCAAGTGATGTCTTCCACTCTGCCACGAGTCTGCCCGTCGTGCAAGTTGAGGGTCGTGAGTCCGGAGCCATGCCCGCCATCATTGAAAGTCGCTCTTCTCGGGAGGCAGAGCCAACCGCAGCTGATAGGGAGCGTGCATTGAAGATCTTCTACGGCGATGAAGAGTTTGTCAATAAGGCCCAAGCAGCTGCCGTCCTCGGCGATGTTACTTTGACAAGCAGGAGAACGCGTAAGGCATATATGAGCCTGTTCGATTGGTCTGGCTACAACATCCTGCTGGCTATGCGGGATCTCTGTGGCAAGCTTGTACTAAAAGCCGAAACTCAGCAGGTTGACCGGATTCTGATGAGTCTCTCGGAGCGGTGGTGTGAATGCAATCCAAACCATGGCTTCAAGGCTACTGGTAAGACCCATTCAGGCAGTTTTGGCTGATTTGATACTGACCATCCATATAGATGTGGTGCACACCATCTGCTACTCTGTGCTGCTGCTCAACACCGATTTGCATCTGGCTGACATTGAGTCAAGAATGACGCGCAACCAGTTTGTTAAGAACACGCTACCGACCGTCGTTCGTGTCTGCAACGAAGCAGCCAAGGATGGCGGCGAGGAAACGCTACGACCTCAATCGACGCAAGTGAGAGGGCCTATTCCATGGGCTGATAAATCAGAGCCGAATTCACCTGCCGCCGATTCAACTACGTTTCCAGCCGATGTTATGGACGACCCGCCTGAGAACAAGAGAGCTCGTAGTCGTCTCTCTGTCAAGCCTCCTCTTCGAAGTGGCTCAGAAGGCACTCTACTCGCACCAGAGTCTGCCATGGCAGAATGCAATACACTCGTAAATGCTCCGTATAATGGTCCCATGAGAGGATGGGAGTATCAGATCGAGACTGTGTTAAAGGAATTCTACAATTCTATTCGGCAGCAGCGATTGCCCCTTCATGGCGCCTCAACCTTGCAAACACACGAGCAACCTTCCACAAACAACCTTTCAGTTAGCTCCATGCTTCGCCGCACTCCAAGTGTCTTGAGTAAAGCACCTTCGGACACCATTAGTTATCGCGGCCGATCACAGACCGACTTCAGAAGTATCGGGACACGCTTGGCCTCCAAGACTCGGTCACGACCGAGACTGTACCCAGCTTCCACTGTCGCATCTAGCCGAACGAGC